GAACCAAGCAAGAATGCCACTACTTCATCCAATTAAAATTAGCATAAGGAATTAGTATGTCCCACTCTTTTGCCAATGCTTTGGACTAAATAATATAGGAAAATTTCAGTGCTTCTTCTTATGTTTGTGCATCTGTCTTTTCTATATCCCACTGTCAAAATTAATTTTCGTTCTCTTTAACCCTTTTAACCTGCAGCTTTTATTTCATTTCAAGTCCTTTCGGAATGTAGCACCTAATTGGCATGCTAATGCCCACAGAATGTCATTCAATTGGCTCATTCACAACTTGAAACTGTTAGTCATCCAAAGCCTTCAACTAGATTTTATGTCCTAATTTTGTATAAATAAAAGTACAGATTTGAAACTGAGGTTTGTTTTTAAGCACGTGAAACAGGACTAATATGTACTTTCAAATAGTAAATTGAGCAGTTCTCACAGTTTCCAAAGCACCGTTTCTGAAAGAATGAATGAGAAGTGACATTAAGCAGTTTAATCCCCACTCTCGCCTACTCAGACCTGTTTTATTGGGCTGTAAAATCTAGCCAATCAAAAGCTAACTGAAACAAAATTAAGGCTGGCTGTTTTCTGTCCTGCCCCAGGAGTCTGGCGAATAAGTAGGAAGAAAGGCACCTGAAGGAGGCTCTACAGTCAAAACACTGTTTTTTTATCTTTCTACTTTTCAGTGTGGAATTATCTGCTGCCATGTTCTCACACACAATAAATCAAGCCACTTTGCCGTGGAGCAGTGTTTAGGGTTCTGCGCTTATCACTGAAAGACTGTGGGTTCAAAGCCCAGGTGAGACACTGCTGTTGTACCCTTGAGGAAGGTATTTCACCTGAAAAATACCCAGCTGTATAAACAATTGCAAATTTAAGTCTCTTTGGACAAACTCTTATTGAAGGGTTAAGATGTCCTGCATTATGAGCCTCAATTAGTAAATTTGGGAAATTTACAGAATCCGATTCCGAGATGTTAAGAAAATACATTCTGTTAAGGAGTAATATTACCAAATTTTAAGTAAGTAATTGCAATTCTGCCCTACCAGCCCCTGATTCAATGCAATTGCTCCGACCAAATGCACACACACTAACAAGTTTGCATTTAAACAAAATTACTCATTAGCAAACAAAACAAAAACTGAAATGGAAATGTGGTCTAAGGAGTTATTTCTCAATTAAATCAGACTTGAACTAAATAACATGAAAATCTCTTTCATGAGGGGCTAAACTGTGCCAATTTTGCACAGTGCCATCAATGGAAAAAATGCTCTGCAAGCTCATATTTTTAGAAACACTGTAGGAAATGCACTATACAAATACACTACATAAAACACGATGCATTCCACACTCTTTTTTCCCTCCTAATTACATCTACAGTTGCAGTGAGTGAAATAAAATCTGGTGGAAACTCCTGTTGCTATGTGGCTCTTTGTGCCCAGTCCACACTATCATTAAATATCTTTCAGAATTTCCCTGTAGATTGGGATGGATTTTCATTGCTTCTGTTAGATTTTAAAGTTTTTTTTTTTCCATACTAGAAATAAATGTCTTGCTCAAAATCTTTTCTGCTTTTTAAATCATCTTTTGGAATTCCTTTACTCTAACAGCATAGACTCTGAATAAGAGAGGTGTTAAACAGCATATTCTGGATGAGAGAGGTGTTAAACAGCATATTCTGGATGCCTAAGGGTTAGCAGGTAGAGATCTCATTATATGGGCAAAGGTTTTGGGATAGCAATTTATTTTGTGTGGGATAAATGTTAAATTCACATTCTGATACAAATGGGTAGGAATTATAATAAAGTACTTTTCAAATTAATTTTTCATGTCATCTTAAGATTCCATTAATCTCATTTAATAAATATCCATTGAAAGCAATGAGGTTCATTTACTCTTAATTTAACATGAACTGCAGAGTGATTAATTTATACCAATTTATATTAACTTATAAATTAAACACAACTGGTTTCTGAGTCCAGGAATATTAAAAGTCCAGAAATATTAAAAACCACACACATAAAATAATTTGAACAAGTCAGACATATGGGGATTCACCCAGATCTACACAATTCCTGGGATATCTGTCTATCTACAGCAGAGAGCGTGTACACATATCACAAACCAACTACAAATTCAGCAAATCAGTTTGCAGAGCTGCCCAGTGAGGAAACAAAGCACAAAGCTTATTTGCTAAAGTCAGGTTATTCCCCTTCTGGAAATGAATGGGGAAGCTGCAGGAAGCCAGTTAAACAGAAATCTAATAAGGTTTGAGTTTGCAGGAAATTTGTTTACTTCCGAACAATAAACCAACCTCCATAGAGCTAGTCCTTGGATATTTTTAGCTTCACTGTTGACACTCGGGCAGTGGGAGCTTAGTGGGAAATTCTTTTCATCACATTTTGGGAACACAAAATTTGCACAAAAACGGCTTTTGTCTTGATAGAATCTGACCACACTGCAAAACAATCAATTTCTGTGCTAAGACTTAACTAAGATTAATGACCACAGTTGATAGTATGCAAAACAAAAACATACTTAATTATTTTATAACTTCAAATATATCATGTACTTATTCTAATTATTTTAATTGACTGATTATTAATATTTAATTTACCAATTATTATTTATTTATCAATTATTATTATCTTATATTGAACATACTCATACCTCCTTATACTCTGCATACCATACCAATTTTTACTCAAGTTAATAATTTAGGATAGAATTATAGACAATTGCAAATCAAATGCATAAGGCACATAGGATAAGGTACAATGTGCAACATATGAAGAGTGCCTTCCACACATGAAAAGTACCAATCAATCTATGAAAAGAAATAAATGAGTATATAATCTGACTTTACAGTAGTTTCTAAAGAATCCACTTAGAAATCCCAAACATACCGTATCATGCAAACATGCTGCACATCTCAGAACACCACATCTCGGATTGCCATTGTTTTTGATATTTATACAAAACATTTTGATTTCTTGTGCATTGCCTCACAGAAATATGGGGTTTGATGCTTTCCATATGGTGCTTCTTTGGCAGAATGCAAAAGCAAGATTTAACGCCACGAGTGTTTAAAAAACTCATAGTTTACTGCAGGGACATGTGGATACCACCTTCTTCTCCTGATAATCTGCCACGTACACTGTATATCTGTCAAATATTACCCTGCCAACATCACTTTGAGGTGTTGGTGAATTGAACATTATTAATAAAATGGCTTAACCCAAATTACACTGAGGTTAGGGATGTAATTAAAAGGTTCTAGTAGAAGCGATTGGTTTGCAGTACAATGCAAGGCATAGTCATTGAACTCTTTCACCTGCAACACATTCTGCAGTAAAATAACAATCATCCATGTCACAACGATATTTGGGAATTCTGCATTTCTTTGAGTTTTTAAAATTCTTCAGAATCTTAAAAATAGTCCCATGATTTAAAATGTCATTCAGACATTCATGGAAAGAAAAGTTCCAACATATTTTGATATGATCAGAAAACCATTTGAGGCTTTATCACCATTCGCTTAGCACAAATACTAATCAGTTTAACAAGCACACTACAGCAGATGTTAACTTAATGTAAAGTTTAAAGCTGTAAAGTTAAAAAATGAACACAATATTTCTTTTAAGTTTTCAGTGTAGAACTAACCTCTACCTCTTACTTTGCAGCTCACACCTAGACACAGCTCCCCATAGTAACTGTTCTTACTACCATCAATGAATTTCAATAATGCACATAACCACCCTGGCATATCTCTTCAACATTTTCCTTTTAAGACAGGAAAGATACGAGGATGAAGTAGGTATTAGGAAGAGGTGGTGACAGTGTTTTAGTTCAACTTTAAACATCTGGAAAGTTTCCAAATAACTTGTATCTGGAATAAACTGCGCAGGAGGCATGCCAAGTCGAAATGCCAAAGTCACGGTATTTAAACAAGCTCCTAGTGTTGTTCTCCTGTGGGAGGAGTGGTGTTTCCTTCTGTATGCTGTATTAGGACACAATGTTACTGATTTGTTTAAACCCAGCAGCCATATCACCCTGCAACTCACAACTGGCAGCCCACTGGAGCTCAGCAGGTGTGAGCCTGGTCAGTACCTGGAGGGAGACCTCCTGGGAAAAACTAAGGTTGTTCCTGGAAGAGGTGTTAGTGGGGCCAGCAGGGGGCGCTCAGCCTGCGTTCTTTGCGGGTCTCAATGCCCCAGTATAGTGACGGGGACACTATACTGTAAAAAGGCACTGTCCTACGGAAGAGACGTAAAAGAGAGTAGGGGTGTAACCTGGCCAAATTTCCCATTAGCCCTTACCCATCATGGCCTACTTATAATCCCCATCTTTGAACTGGCTTCATCACTCTGCTCTCCTCCCCACCAATAGCTGGTGTGTGGTGAGCGTTCTTGTGCACTATGGCTGTCGTTGCATCCTCCAGGTGGGGCTGCACACTGGTGGTGGTGGAGGGGATCCCCATTACCCGTAAAGCGCTTTGAATGGAGTGTCCAGAAAAGCGCTATATAAGTGTAAGCAATTATTATTATTAAAAACGTGCTTTAATCTGGCATGATCAAATCTGGGTATTCTTTTGGTTTTTGATGAAAACATTATTTTACGTATGAAAAATATGATAAGGCTTTACACTTCCGTGATTCCCTTTGCTTAATGAACATTAGGCAAATTTCAGTAAGGTATTACTGTATGAACACACTGTTATCTCTAAGAGTAGTAACCAGCAGAACAAGTGAGTCTTTGAACAGAAGTGCCCAGTGATAAAAAGCAAGAGATACACTGTGCACACTGGAAAGGCATCCACATTCCAGTTCCTGAAAACACGTGCCGGGGACATTAAGCACATACTTTTTAGTTCACGTTTTTGTTTTAATTCAGGGTTCTTACCCTGGCTGCTGAAAGCAGATTTTGAATACGTAAATGCCAATTTTCACATTCTAAGCCTTTTCCCACCTTATATGTACAGTAAATACGACAGATTCTCCTACCGTGGGAGGGTCTGTATGCTTCAAAGTCCCTGCTTGCTGGGTTATGCATCCTCATCTCAGTAAATTCTGGAGCATTTCTCACTGCAAGAGAGGAAGAGAAAGCTTGTATTGCATATCTCAATCTAAGCATAATTATGAGCACATATAATCTCAGCATAAGAGTTTTCTGAGACCGTAAGTGCAGCGCCTTGCTTTACTGAAAAAACAGGGATTTTCCAAATGTTTGGAATTTTTTTTTACTTTACTCCGCTCCATATTTTGTATACTGTATATATGAAATATGGGAAGCATTTTCTAATGCTCTAGATGCATTGGTATAGACAAACAGAGAAGGAGGAGTTGAGGGCTTAGCACCATTCACACCAGTCACATCCGAAAACACATGTAGTTCCAGACATACAGAAATACAATATTACAGGACACTCCCACTAACATACAGCATGAGGCCCATCCTGAGAGAATCTGTAACAGAGGGGATGAGGAGCAATCATTCTGGCTTTCAGCACGATCATTGTGCAAGTGTAAAACAGATTAGCTGGTGCTCCAATTGTTAGAGGAAGAGAAAGTACTGTCCCAGACCATAAGGAATCGTTATAAGAAATGCATTTATTTTTATAACGGGAGATCCATCTTTGTAGCATTGCCTGTCAGGAAGACTATCTAGTCAAGTGTTTTTGGAATTTATTTGAGATCGAGCATATTCTGAAAATTGAGGAAGATCTTAATGTCCTCATAAGTAAAACCCAATTTAAGTAAAACCAGCAGACCAGGATTAAACAGGAATATTGAGATCTCCACTTAAAAAGCTTAAAAATAAATGGATGGGTAAGACTCTCAACCTTAGTTTAAATCTTTATTTTTTATTTCTTTTACTATCACAGCTTAACAAAAATAAATATTACACTATTATATGGCTATAGACGGATTCATAAGACCACCCTTACATAAAACATATTGTGCATTTACACTTTTTTGAACACATTGTCCAGACAGCCTTTATTTAAGAAGGTATGTTATGCAAGTAATTGAGAACAAATTCTCATTTACTATGACGACCTGGGAGACCGATTTATACAGCGGGGCATTCACTGTGATCATAACAAAAAAAAACAAAGCCAGGGACACAATTAAGCTGAACATGATTGAGCTCTGCATTTCGAAGGCAGCAACAGACCTGGCCTTGGAAATGCTCTTAATATCAGTGGGAGAGAATGATCATCTTACCATAAGGTGTTGGAGGGGACACAGGGAAAGCGGGAGTGGGAGGGACTATTTCACTGCCGGTCTCCAGCGAAGACAACACACTGCTCTCAGCTTCACCGTTCACCTCTCTGCGCTGCAGGCCACTGCACTGTAACGGGCAACATCCACGGAAACAAGTGAGAAGAAACCACATCAGTCAAATCTGAGGGGACCCGTGACACAGCCCCATTCTGCAAATAAAGAGAGTCCCGGGGAGGCTGTGTTTGCACTTGTATATTAGAGTCTCAGCACAAAGGGTGCAGATAATTCTTATCAGCACTGGGGGCTTCACACTCTTTAAAACAGCAGCAAGGCTTTTCTGCAATGGCTGTGCCACAGACCTGCACACCTTGGCAAATGGTGAATGCAAGAACAATCTGTTAGTCGGTTTAATGGTAAAGATATCATTGGAGTTAATACGAGCAAATAAACTGAGGATACCATACTGGTTAACGATGCTGTGAATGATTACTAAGGGGTTAAATGGACACAGTGGTACAGTATAAATCAAGGGCTCTGCCTTTACATGGTGACCAGATTTGTACAATTGAAATAAATGCTCCATTGTATTTTGCCTGCTCCAACATTCTGCTGTACACAGGTTTTTTTTTTCCCCCTAATATAATTAGCATTGCCAAATTAAGTTAGTTTAGATACAATTTTAAATGAAGGTGAGTTATTTGAAACAAATTTTGAACGTACATGACATAAGCCAGTGCTTAATGTTTCATTAGAGTTTTCTGAATTAAAGTCAGTTTAATTTTACTTTTTGTTGCATTTCTTCCTCACTTTAGTTTATCACATCTAACACGATTTCAACAAAAAAAGACATGCATATTAAAATATATAACATATATCTATATATATTTGCATATAAAGGGGTTTCAGCAGCCGTCGAGAAAAAGAGCTTGCACAAATAACAGTGCTACTGCTCTGTGCCAAGAGCCTCATACCTCAGAAGGCTGTGAGCTTGAAGCATAGGCCGGTGAATGTTGAATCTGTTCCATCAGGACCCATCCGGTCCTGCTGAACAGAGAGCTCTCTGTGATGTCACTGCTCTGCCGGGCTCCAAGCACACTCCTTGACCTTTCCAGGCTGGAATCACTGGCTTGCAGGGCTGCAAACGCAAAGGACTGCATTTATTAGTTTCAAAGGTATGTCAACACGTTGTTCAGGAAATAGAAAAGCAGTTCAAGAAAAGTCTCTGGACCACTTGTGTTCCCCTCTGTACATTTTGAAAGTATTAACTGGTTTTCTAGCATTCCTACACGTCTGGGGATGTCCATGAACCAAAGTTGTACATGGATGTGAGGGGAAATTAATTAAAAAATGAACTAAATAAGAGTAAAGAGTAACCTTCACGAGGCTGAAAAGTTTATTTCTAGTGTCTGAACATCAAAAGGGTCGGCTTACGCTTGCATTCCAGAATCTACCAGATAAGGTTCTGCCAAAATTCTGCTACAGGAGATTTTACTACAACAATATTGCCTCAGACTCGAAGAACAACATACAGTCACATTACAATTATAATTACTGAAGTGTTGTAAATGTTATCATCCATGAGTCATTAATTAAACTGGCTTAATATATTCCAAATTTACATTCTTCAGGTTTACATTTCATATAATTAAAGAACAAGTGCTGCATTCTTACTAGCTATTAGAATAAAGGTGAATGAATGATTTATATATAACAGCACACCTATACATCAATCTTGCAAGAAGTCTGTCTGAACATGTATTATTCTTGGAGAAACAAAGTACAATATTTATAGCAATAATATATTGCTTTAGAAAGTGTGCAAATTCACATGCTTAAAGAAATAGCGGGGATGCATGGACTTCTTACTGAAATATAACTAAAACGTTTGATTGCTATGGAATTTATTAGACAAGAAAATAAAAAAGTGGATTGTTTGTGCAAGTTCCTATACGGCCACATATACAGTACTGGTCCATTGTCTTATTCTCTCAGGGCACAATTATTGAGCTCATCTTCCTGTTCTCCCTCAGGTTTGTTCTTTAAGTTTTAGTGCAGTTAAGGTCCAGTGACTGGTGACACCAGCCCATCAGTTTCAGAAACCTGCAGTTGTTTGAAACAGCAAGAGGGACTGGCCACAGCAGTGTACTATACTGTATATCCCCATGCATAAGGAATAGCACTGAAGAACTCTCTGTCAATACAGTCTGTGCAGCTAGGAAGAAAACCAACCTCTTACATCACCACAGCTACAGTATTTTAGGAGGTAAAATTAATGTAAAAAAAACGCACAGACCACAATCAGGAAATACAGAATAAACAGCAGCTCTGTAAACAAAAGTCAGAAGGCTGACAGAGTGAATGTCTTAATCTTGATTATGAAAATGAAAATCAAGCCCATCCCTTCCTAACTATTCAAAACCACTTCCTTTTTCAATTCATTGGTATCATTTAATCTGCATCTATTCATTTAGGTGTTTAGGTTTTAAGAAAAGAAACAAGTGTAGGTTTTCGTAAATCTCTCCATGTCAGGAGAAACTCCGGAGATATCTTTGGGATGCTGAGATGGTCGATGGGTTAGGGTAGAGGTCTGCGGTGTGGGCAGGAGCTGAAACTCCAAAAAATAGTTGTTCCCAGACAAACACTACCAACTCCTGCAATTGACACAAAACTGTGTAGCTAAATTCAAAGAGTAATGGAAAATAATGTGTACCACATACAAGAAAATGGCAAAGGATGTGATTTCATCGAGTTGGGCTATTTTGCAAAAGCTATGATAAAGGTCCAATATAAAACCATTCTCCAAAGCCAAAGTGCAGCTGTGACAGTTTACAAGGGGAGATATTTTAGAGGGTTAATGCATTTTAGCATAATCTAGTTTTATATGGATTCTTACCTATATTTTAATAATACTGTCCAGATGTCCTTATAATTATAATTGCCTGTGTAACCATATTGCATATCTGAGTGCTTTGGGGTTTAGAAATTCCTTAGTTCCCTTTGTGCCTGTAAAACATCCCTCATTAACAGTGCTGTTGGTATAACGACCCTATCTGAACACAGAAAAATGCAATCTCATGCAGCTGTGGAATGCTAGAAACTGCTAATGAATACAACTGATTATGAAGATGCTATGTGGTTTGAGTTCATCTGTTCTACATTAGTCACACAGCTCTTGGTTAAAAGGCAAACCATTTTTGAAGTGTTGCTTCTTCAAATTGAGAAAATAGCTGAACTTAGGTACAAAGGACCTATACTGTATATCTGGAAACCAGGGAAATTAATGACACCAGGGAGTTTCTGCTATGAAATAAATCTAGTTTTCATTTAACTGATAAAAGAGGCATACAACTTTAATGGTAAATACAGAACAGTATATTATTATAATTGTAAGTATAACTTGTTTACTTCTTCACTCAATATGATCACTTCACCTCCCTTGCTATTAGCATGCATTTCATTTCATTGTTTGTTTCAATTCTTCTCTCAGCAACAGTTTTCAGCCTCACTGGAAAAAAGCTTGGACTTTACCCAAAAAGCCCACAAGGATGACCTCTCGAAAAATGGAAAGAACCTGGAAGTCTGCGAGAAAGGAGTGATAGCCCAGTTTGTCAATACACGTCTGGAAACTGGCTCAATTCATTTGCTTCAAATTACATACTCCATCACACACAGATCAGAAATGATCTAGCTGCTCATTCAGACTTCATGGAGTGCTCCAGGCGTTTCTCAAAACAGAGACAAATTTAATCCAAAATTAAACAACTCATGAACAATATCCAGTCTCTGTATATGCCACCCTAACCTGTATTTCTCTTTTAATATACTTAGAATTGAGAGGAACTGGGACAAGAACCTTTTATAATAATAAACATTGCACTGGCATTTTTTAACAATGTATTTTTTACATAGCATGGCCAGAGGCAAACTTTAGGATAACTTTAAATAATAAAAAGATGTAAGCATGATGTAGAAATCCATGTTATACAAAACCTTACAATAAACATTCTCAGACTTCAGAAGTATTAAACACATGTTCTAGGAACAAGAGCAGTGCGTGGTCTGTCAGACAGACTCCTGCCATATGTGCAGCTGTGACAAAGCAGACAGCTGCCCCTTCCCAGAAACTGCAAGCCCAGGATTTACATTGGAAGTGCGGAATCTTTCATTTTAGAGAAGTACGGCATTCTAGGTTAGAAAAACAAGCTAAAAAAAACCAAATGTGCTCAGTGCAGTAATACATTTACGCAACAATAACGTTATAATGTTTGTATGCTTTCATGACATATGCTAACCACACTGTTTCTGGGGTGATGTTCACCATTTCATTCCTGTCATTTCTTTCTAATGTTACACTTGCCCTGATAGCCACTTCAGGCAAATAAACACTGATAGATCCACGCAGAGGAAAAAGTTACTGTTACACATAATTTAACAAGATAATTCTTATATTGGCATGGGCATGGCTTTTTTTGGACAAGCAGCAAAGAAACTGCTTAAAATGGTATTTCTAGCCTGAGTAAAATATGTGTGTGTGAAAACTGTAAATATGTACACTATCTGTACACTGTGAATCTTGATTTAAACCCCTCAAGTTTTTTTTTTTATTGGAAGATGTGATGCTTGCTGCAACAATGGCACTAACTACAAATTATGTATTGTGTAACGGTTCTGGGGGTTCAGCCCTTGCCACTCCAGCCCCGCCAGTTCGTCCCTCACTGCCTGGGCTCGGACCCGGGTCTCCGGCGTCACGCAGCAGGGAACTTGTCAGCTGAGCTAAAGGAGACTTCCTTCATCCCGGGCGGCTGAGATCCCCGTTATACGCAGGGGCGTATTCGTTACAATTGGAATAGCAGGACAATACATTAAATCTATTAAAATACCAATTCCATTTGAGATAATGAGATAGCTATCTAATAGGCTTTGTGGGTCACCCTTAAACCATCAAAAGCTAAACATCTGCGACAATATAATTTCAACCTCTGAAGGAAATCATTCAGCCATTCAAGTAGTTTAGAGGCTGTTTGAAACGAAAAACCCCAACATCCTGTTGCTCTCCAAGACTACAGCTGGCTACAGTGAAGCCTTACAGTTTCTGACAATTATACAGCTATATCCAATAGAAAACTGTACCCATCTTTAATGTAAAGAAATAGCTTAACAGCTCTAGGTAATACCACACTTTCAAAAACGTCTGATGGCGGTATTATTCACACTCAAAGAGTGTGAAGTTTTGAAAAAAAATGGTCCATTATACTCTGTAGTAAATAAATATATTGTTTCTTTCTATAACTCCATAAAATTAAAATCCGAAGGATTTCCTACACGTCTGCTACAGTATATCCAGTATACTGTATATAGTATGTACGTACTTTATAATAAAACATTTCATTTTGATTATGAAAGGTACTGTAGCAAGGCTGTCCTGTTTTAAATAAGTAGCCCGGCTGCGGGATTTTGTTCTGCTGTCAAGTTCACCTGGTCCTGGTACATTCGATTTCTGGAGTCCACGTGCTGTCAGAGGTATGCAAGTCATGCTCTGACAAGCTGTGTTTCAGTGCTCAACCAAAACAGAATCGACATCTGTCTGCAAGACAGAGCACAAACCACGAGCAGAGGCACATTTCAGGGAGCCTTGCCGAGCAACTCAAACTGTGGTCTTAAAATGATCTTCTCCATCTTCGGCAAACTGCGGTCAGACAAAAGGGTTAAGACTTTACAAAGGCGACGTCTACCCTTTATCGGGAGCACATTACGAAATGATGAGATGCTTGAAGATGATGAGCCTGTGTCCACAGAGAGCAGGGCGGTGTATTACCTTCACAAACCGTGAAGAAAAACAGATACAACGTTTTAGCAAGGCCTCTGTTTAAGAGAACGATGGAAAAAAAACAGTTCTGAAAAAAATGCGTGGATGTTAAGACAGAATATTATATTTAGAGATTAAGTATGAAGTTGTTTTTTATCCGTAGAGCTGATGTACAGTATGATCCAATATTAATAAACAAGTAGAAAGGGAAAATTAATGTAAGTCCATCCATCCATCTAACTTCTCTATCCCATACAGGGTCACGGGGGAGCTGGAGCCTATCCCAGCATGCAACAGGCGCAAAGTAGAATTGTTCAGGTGGGGAGCTG